ACAAGTATAATATTACTACATTATTTGTTGCCAGTTAATTCATGTGGTATTATAAGATTATAACTGTCACAGTTTTACATACATCACATATTTTGCAAATCTCAAGTAAAGGCTGTTTTAATTTAAATACAAAATGAATATAATTTCAAGTTATGTCCAAAATAGTCGTAAGAAATATACAAAAACAGTCTGTAATACAACCAGCAGATATATCGAGATAATCATATAAATACTGATTAGGATCTAAGTACACTATTTCATTGAAGCTACAAAAAACATTATAAATGAAATGAGAAAGTTATGATTTTATTTAAATAATGACAATAATAAAATATTGATTTCTGCGTTAAAAGATGTCTGCCATATAAATTTGATTTGTTATTAAAATTATAAATAAATAGTTTCACTAAATACTTCACACCAGATAATTGAATGTGTGGTTTTATAACGGTATGGTGGTAGCAACTCTAACAGTACATACAGACGAATGGCACTTTGATGTCGGTCATCGATCAATGGAGACATTTTCCGTTTGTTATTTGACTTAAAAATAGTTTAGGAACGCACTTGTTCGCTTTGCGCGTAAGAAAAAATATTTTATCGTGTTAAATAAAAGCAAAAAATTGTACATCTTGTTATCCATATGACAATTTCTCATTTCCCTATTTCTCTTTCTAGGGTTGATTTTTCAATCGGCAATAAAATTTATGCATCAAAATAATATACTATATATGTATAAAAGTAAAATACTTGAACAATTTTATTCTTCAAGTATTTTACTATTATATTTTACTACTAATTAAAGTAAATAGTCCCACCACAAATGCGAGGCAAATATTATGTATGTATATACATACATACATAATATTAATTGTAATTTGTTTATGTTGTATTTTATGTTATGAATAAAGATATAAGGATATAAAAAATAATAAAGAAATGGATTTAAAGAAATTAGCAAGTTTTCTACTACTGAAACTTCATCAATGGCTGCTTATGCACCTGCTAACGATATGTCGAAGGCAGCAATTGCACTTGCACGTATCGTAGGTTGGGTAAAGCATGTCCGCACCACAACACTATATTAAAGTGCCACTCGTCTGTAAGAGCGCAAAGCACAAATTTTTATTACCAGAAAAATGTTAAGGGCTTTTTACAGTTCTGTTTGCGTATATTGATCAAGTTATTAGATATTGTTTTATTTAAATAACTGGACTAAAAAGGAAATAATAAAAAATAACAAAATATATAATTGTTATTACTAGCTTGTTATTGCAATAATGAACCACAACTATTACGTATTTAAAGTAAAATTCGCCGCGTCTGCGCTTATATACCTTTAAAATGTTTTACCCTTAATGATTGTGACACACACAACAACGTTACTTGAATGGAAAATCAAACAGACTTTATTATTCTCACGATTTTCGTACGACTAAATTTTTAATTTGCGTGCATTCATGAAGTGACATCGACACTAAATTAACAAATAAATTCAGTTACTACAGTTACTACATACACGCTAAGAATTATATTTGTATTACAACATATCGGATCTTTGATGCAACATCTATCACGTGATATTTCGCATAATGTTAACATTATCCTAATTTTAGGGGTTATTTTAGTAGCAAAGATCGAGACAAGCACGTATTGTGTGCTCTATTGCACTTTTGAAATTACGTGATAAATGCGTCGATTCGCTCTGTATGCCACAAACTTCTCAAACATTTTAATAGTGATAAACAACAAACACATGAAGTATAATTTGGATACTTCTTATATTTCTTATAAAAAGAAGGGAATAGAGAGTGCACCCGCACTCACACTTGCACTATAATCGTGTCCTGCGCATATGACTGGTATCTTTTGAGAATTTAATTCGGTCTGGAGAACATTATTAATTATAAGTAATAATGTTAATTAATTATAATTAATAATGTTCTCCAGACCGAATTAAATTCTCAAAAGATACCAGTCATATGCGCAGGACACGATTATAGTGCAAGAGTGTGAGTGCGGGTGCACTCTCTATTCCCTTCTTTTTATAAGAAATATAAGAAGTATCCAAACAACTTTTCCCTATGACAGTACACGTTGGCGGCAAATGATTTAACATCAACAAAAGATAACTACTAATTTAATATTATATCCTAACTATAATTCAATATAAACCACAATGCATCGTTTATTTCACGCACATACGGGTGGTGACACAATGGGACGTAACAAATTTTGAAAATCGATACGTTTTAAGTTTTAGCGACTTAAAACTTAACCGAGTGATGGAATATGATCCATTTACAAGAGATGTTATCACAAATGTTAAAAGGTTCTACTGTTGGAGATATATTACAATTATGCAAAGAAAAATGAAAGACAGTTTCTTTATATATCTCCAACAGAAGACATTCCAAGAAATTTATTTATAAAACAGTACTTGATTTGATAGAAAGCAATCAAACCACAAACGAGAACGTGTTAAGGCCGTGTACAGATTAAAAATGCATCCTCTCATGAGTGTAATGCTTTACGCAACGCGATATAAAAGAACGCGTCAATAAACTCCAACGACTTCACACCATTAGCACTAGCTAGCCTTCTAGAGACTTTCGGTTGTAGCGTCCTTCCGCTATATGCTCGCATCTCGCACTTAGCAAATTTTCAGACCCATACATTTCTTGATCAATTTGTATGTAGCTCAAACTAGCGCTTATGATGAACTAGCTTCCATATTAATTGTAAAAAAAAACCTGAATATTTTAGCATTTTACGATGCAATTAAAATGCTAAAATCAATCATTAATCATCATGAATGATTTTAGAATTTTACAATATTAATATTTTTGAATTCTCATCAGTCCATAATTGGTCCTCGACTGGATATGGGCCAGTTCCACAATACGGGTAATGTATCGTATTTGACGTAATCATTGTGTTTTCTAGGCGAAATGACAATCGCAGTACGCAGTAGTACGTACGTAGACGTTTTATACCTTTGATACTGACTCGCTTCGCTGCTTTCTATATTTAACACACGTATAGTTATTTTGCAGTAACCAGGCCAAATTTACAGAGAATATTCAGAATAAGTAATATAGGCAAAATTTTAAATAATCTAAAACATTCTCTAATGCATGATAAGGCATTATTTTAACTGGTTGTATTGCACAAGCACACATTTGTAAGGGCCTATCAGTAGACAAAAACGTTGTTGTCCATAAATCACATTCAATTTGGGATAGTTTCAAATAAAAGCAGAAGCCTTATTTACTCGTATTTTCAAAAACTGCAAAACGATATATCATTATTTATATATTTGAACATAAGTTTAAAATTTGACAGCTCTTTGAAACACAACCCTGTATAAAATGGGCACAAAACGTTATCTATAACAATGTGACTTATCACATCCAATCTTAATCGGAGCCCTTCAAACGATGTAATGGGGCAATGACACTACTAGTATAAATCGAAATAATTTTAGCAATGTAAAAACCTAGCATTCTACTTTAAATTATAGGTGAATGTGATTTAAAGTAGGTCTGAGACAAGAAGGCAAGGGAAGAATCGTCCAAGGTGCGAGGCGTCCCGTACTGCAATCGTCAATCGGGTTGCCAATCAATATGATGAAGGCAAACCCTCCCTAAAACGGGAGAAGCCCATATCTAACAGAGAACTTTTACGGACTGAAGATAAAGAAAATGGGAGACGGAAAATTATTGACTTACTATATACAAGTATTTCTATAGTACGGAGCGGTGACAAACTACATTGACTTTAAAGAATTTGTTTCCCATTGTGAGAGATCTGGTGCTGTAGATACCACATCTCTCATAATAGAAAGACACAGATTACGGGCTAAAGACGTAGATATAATTTTCGGACAGGTTTTTTTATTTACAGATAAAATAAAATTTAAGTTAAAAAAATACTGCTCAACGGTGGGATGATAGAATACTGCTAGTCCGCTTCCAGGGCAAGCAGAAAACGGACAAAGACACTAATTATTATGTTAGTGTCTACGAAAAACGATATGTATCGCTCCACATACATTTATTCATTGCTTTCGTTTCTTATCGCATTACGCAGTACAGTATGAAGTAAGGTACGCGGTGATTCAAGATGACAAAACTATCTTGAAGATTTCAAGAATTGTATATTGTGCCTTGAGAACTTTGTTATTTCTATTTTCTGTGCCTCATTTTTGTATTTTATGAACATCAAACCATGATATGGCCAAACTTATAGTTAATTGATATTTTTAGCCGACCTTACCTCTTCATAATATTAATAATAACAATAGTGGGTATAGATAAGGTGGAAAGTGAAACAGAGATCAAAATTAAGTAAGAGAAAATGGAAAAAAAGCAGATTATTTCTACAGTACGCTCAAATATCATTGTCCGTTTTTTCCGCCGGTCCTAAAGACAGACTGGATGTTTACATAGTATATCGCGAAATATTTTTCCTGAGGAATCTAACAGAACGAACTCACTTTACCTAAATGGTGACAAAATTTTGAAGACCGAATGATAGTCGAAAACCATGTGGAAGTTCAACTGTGTGGGCAGCATTATCAGTGCGAGTGTATCAACTCTTCATTCACTAATATGGCATGGTGACTATACTGCAAACCCAGACACTTTCATAAAAGGCATTTGTACAGTAAGTGGACTAGAAAGTGTGATGTGAATTATATAATTTAATCTTTTGGCCTTCTCATGTCAACGAGATTTTTGTCTGAGATTTGTGTAGACTTTGTATTCGACTCTGGTGTTATAATTTGAAGGTGTTTTTTCACTATAAAACATAAGTACCTAACAACACTTATTTGAGCTACATACAAACCTATTAACAGAATACCCGAAAATGCCACTAGTGTCGAAACGTTAAGCGTCATTTTTGCTTGTGCACCAAAACTACGTGTCGTCCGGTCACGTGACGAGGCGAGGCAAAATTGACCGTAAATGTATTGGCTAAACGGCGATATTTGCCTGCTAGCAGCGGTCCGCGTCTGGCGGCGTGCTCAGGTACGGGTCCGCGCGTTTGTGGTCGACGAGCGCCTTCACCGTTGACGCGTCCGCTGGCAAGTCGGATTTCTTGCGCAGTAACGGTTTACTCGTGTTGTTGTAGGCTTGTTTTCTTGTCTGAAACAATTAAATACTTTAATTAGGTAGTGTAGTGACGATGTACGAATATCCACTAATCCATATCATTGGTGTCGTAAGAGGCGACACACAGTGTCACAGTGAGATCATACTGGAGACGGGCAGTAGCATCTTCCGGATAACAAATAAAAATATTAAAAATCTGTAGTTGTCAATTCACCTGCCAAACTTGACAAGTATGGAAAATATCCCCCATATGAGGCAAGTTATTGGGAAGACCTATGCCCAACAAAGGACTTTTAATAGGCTATGACGATGATTAATATGTATGTTTATTTTATTATTATTTTTTATGTATTATTGCGGTATTTTAACAAAATATAGTTTAGTTTATTTAGATATTAGAATGTAAGTGTAACATAAAACGCACCACCTCCTACTGTTCTTAATTCCAGTTTCTCCTTAGCCCAAAGGTTGTCTGGAAGAGATCGCTCTTTAGCGATAAGACAGTCTTATTGTACATACGTATATATTAAGTTTTCTCTGCAATGTATTTATTCGTTGTATATGTGTGGTGTACAATAAAGTATATACTACTACTACTACTACTTAGGGTACTACTACTAAGGGTAGATGACACCATGAATATATATCATATAATATAATTATATATCATATAATTAAAATGTTTGTTTTGAAACCTCTTAATAAGTATTTCAATTGACTTAGTGTGAAATACCTAATCGAAAAAACGAATTTCTCTTTTTCTCGCTATGATACTTGTGTGGTATTGCTTTTAGAGGAGAAGCAATAGCAGATCCCCTCCGCAAAGATCGTGATCCTCGGCGATTTTAAGGTCACCACGCCGAATGGCTTGGTTCACATTTAACCGATCATGCGGGGAGGTCTGTTCATAATTTTGCCTTGGCATATGGTATGACGCAACTGGTTACTTCGCCTACGCGGATTCCAGATGTGGAAAATCATGCACCTTCCCTGTTGGACCTTCTGCTGACCTCTCGTCCGGACAGATATCAGGTCTCCGTCGAGGCCTCTCTTGGCTCCTCGGATCATTGTCTTGTCCGAAGTGTGGTGACAATCGCCAAAATCGCGGTTGCATTCTACGTACTGCAGGCTGCCGCCATGTTCGGCACTATAGGTCGGCCGATTTGGATAGGATTTGGTCTTTCTTTGCATCCTACCCTTGGGGGCGGGTTTGCTTTTCGCCGGACGATCCCAACATTTCCTGGACATCCACAAGTCGAGTGGGCCTGACGGAATCCCCCCAATTGTGGTGAGAACGCGAGCTCCAGAGTTGACACCGGTTCTAACGCCTTTTCCGGTACTCCTACTCCCTAGGCGTAGTCCCAAAATCATGGAAGACTGCTTTCGTCCACTCAATACCTAAAAAAGGCGACCGCTCAGATCTGTCAAACTAAAGGTCTATCGCCATCACCTCCTTGTTCTCCAAAATAATGGAATCTATTGTTAACAGCCAGCTCATGCGGTACCTTGAGGATCACCAGCTGATTAGTGACCGCCAATACGGTTTTCGTCGTGGTCGATCAGCTGATGATTTTCTAGTCTACCTGACACTTCGATGAGTGGAGGCAGTAGAGTCCAAGGGGGAGGCATTGGCCGTTAGCTTGGACAATGCGAAGGCCTTCGATCGGGTTTGGCACAAAGCGCTTCTTTCGAAGCTCCCTTCCTACGGGCTTACCGAGAAATTGTGCAACTAGATCACCAGCTTTCTTGCAGATCGGAGCATCAAGGTCGTTGTAGACAGTGCATGCTCCGATTACAAGCCTATTAATGCTGGCGTTCCACAAGGCTGCGTGCTATCACCAACGCTGTTTCTTCTGCATATCAATGATATGTTGCAAACCCGTAACATTCATTGCTAATTGCTATGCGGATGACAGCACTGGTGATGCTCTGTACACCGGCCGTGCCAATATTTCTCGGGAAAAAGTCTCCGAATACCGGGACAAACTTGTCTGAAGTCGAGTCTTTGCTGAACTAAGTCTCAGATTGCGGGCGACTAAATCTAATCCAATTGGGTTAAATTGGATTAGAAGACACAAGTTTGCGCGTTTACCGCTAAAAATAACCCCTTTGTCGTATCTCTTCAGTTTCAAGGCACTCCCCTTGTTGCCTCAGCCAGTATCGAAATCCTCCGCTTCGACATATCGAGTGACGTGCAGTTTCGTGGTCACTTAAGAAGAGAAGACCAAATTAGCTTCTAAAAGCTTGGCGTATTCAGCAGGGCGGGATAGTATTTCATGCTGCCACACCGACTGCAACTTTACAAGGCGCAGATTCGGCCGCACATGGAGTACTGTTCCAATCTCTGGGCTGGGGCTCCCCAGTGCCAGCTCCTCCCACTTGACCGCATCCAGCGCAGAGTGGCTCGAACCATCGACAACAGAGTGCTTTCCGATCGGCGAAAAGATGTTGCATCTCTTTGCATTTTCTTTCGCATCTACCATGGGGAGTGCTCTGAGGAATTGTTCGGATTAATCCCAGCTGCCAAATTTCGTGAACGCACTACGCGGCAAACCTCCCAATACCATCCACACCATCCGGTTGCTTGGCGATCCACCACTGTACGTTTCACTAGGAGTTTTCTTCCGCGTGCCACCTCTCTGTGGAATAGTTTACCACCGGCAATTTTTCTGGATCGATACGTCCCGGAGACTTTCAAGAAAAGAGCTTACTCTTTTCTAAAAGGCCGGCAACGCATCTGTAATTCCCCTGGTGTTGCAGTGTGGTAGTCACTTAACATCAGGTGAACCGTATGCTTGTTTGCCCCCTCTGCTTCGTCATCAGGTGTGAAAACGTATCGACATTTTCATTCTTTATTAAAGATAGATGTAGATGTTTATGGGTAACAGCATCCATTTACAATCAGGTGGAATGTGTGCTCGTTTGTCGCCCTTATTCTATGAATATATAAAAGACGGAGCAATAAGTTATAACTTTAAAACAGATGAAAAAAATTGTACATATAATTGTTTAAATTTATTTCAGAGTCTAGAGCTACGCGTCTAGTTGTACCGATGCCCCACGTACTATTGGTGGGTGGGATATGTGTCCGTGTGCGATTGTATAAAGAAAAGAGACAACAATACTGACGTCGTTCTGTTCCCGGTCGGGGCGGCGCGCGGGTTCCGAGGCCGCAAGGTGTGCGGGGTGCGGCGTGGGCTCGGGCGGGGAGTGCGCGGGCGCAGGCGACGTGGCGGGAGCAGGGGAGGGGGCGGGCAGCGACAGCTGAGAGATCGCCGGGTTCGCTGCCGCACGCTCTTCCAACCGCTGCCAAATCTCCTCGCGCTGAAGTAACCGCTCGCGTTCTCTGCCATCACATTAAACTGTTTGAGTTTTTCTCAATGAAAATTCTTTTACCACCTCTTCTGTTACATTGCATATAATATTTGCATGTTAGTTTGAATTTTATTGCAAATATATTTAGAAAGCTTGAATATCTCAGCCACATAATGAGAAACTGAAAATACGATCTACTGCAACTCATCATACTGGGCAAGATCCAAGGAAAACTAAGTGTGGGTCGAAAAAGAACATCTTGGCTGAAAAACCTACGCCAATTGGTTTGGAAAGAGCACCCGTTCCTTATTCAGTGCCGCGGCGGCATCAAAGATCTAAGTTGCCTTAATGATCGCCGACCTTCGAAAGAAGATGGCACTTTAAGAAGAAGAAGAAGAAGAGCAAATACATGCAAATTAGTGGAATATAATTAATATTTAAATAACATCGTATTTCATCACCTGCAAATTCGAACACTATGCTTTTTACAGACATAAAAACAAACCCTATATCACCCGTTTTATATCCATTTATTCCCTTATTTTTCGGAGGATACAAAAAGAGATCTTTCCCGCCAACAGGAACAACTACACTACAACTCCTTTTGTGCTTGTGGGTAGGTAGCACCCACTTAATTACTTATATCTGCCGTCAATTATCAACGCTAAGTCTGCTGTGTTCTGATCTCAAGGGTATAGAGAGCCAGTATACAGTAACACATTACAAGCTTTACAACTTAGTGTACATGCACACAACATAACAACTTTGATGTGACAGAGAGGTAGGCGGGAGCTCAGTAGGCGTAGCTTGGTCATTCACGTAGCAACAAGCTGGAACCCACTTGTCCTAATAGCTGATTTATACTTCGACAAGTACAGTAACGAGTTAAGGGGAAATAGAAAAATACTACCTCAAATGGCTTAGCAAGATCCTCCGTTATGCCGAAAATATTGCAGCATTAATTTTGAAATAAATATTTGGTAAAGTTTAGGATTAATGTTAAGACGACACATCGAAAAGGCTATCGCTGTACTGATCCGAGTGAATACATAATTTCTATAAAAACTTTAAAAAACGCCGTCATAAGGTCTAAAATAGCGTAGCGCCCGCGAGGATTAAAAGCGCTTAGAAATTGTCAGAATCATTTTAAGTTTTTAAAAAATTATTGATTTAAGTAATCAAAATAATGAACAAGTAAATTATGAATATTAATGTTATGAATATATATGAGTGATTTCCAATCATATAGATTAAGTGATTTCCAAACATATAGATTAAGTAATTTCGTTGTAATTTCAACTATAGTGATTTTTTAGAGGTGTTTTCGCAAATAATTATGATCGAGTCAAAATTATACAATCGTGTTTTTGAACAATCAAATTCAAGATAAAGACATGAATTTACCTATATCAAAATTTCACTTTCGTTAGTGGTGTCATAGTCCTATACTATTCGATGAAAGGAGGTGCATTTTTTCACGGTGTCGCCTTAAGTACTCCGTTAGACGAAAACATGATTCCGTAAAATTTTCTCGATAGAAAAAAAATCCAAGGTTACCTCCAAACCGAACTATAAACCGCTGGTACTCATAAAATACTTGAAATTAGATCATAAAATGTTGCATACTAACTGAACTAACTATAAAGCAGGGCTTATGTTTATTATTTTTTTAAATTACCATTATTTTCACTGTAAAAAGAAAATACAATTCGGCTTTTGAAGGGGAAAGTTGTGTCGCTTACGATCAGAATGCACATTACCCCCTTAATATAATAATAGCCCCTTAAGTTACAGGGCAGTTGACAGTAAACGGTTAAGGGGACAGTAACGTTCAAATATCTTCGTGGCGAGTTTAGTTAAAAAAGTACATTTTTATATTTTGTGGGTCGAACACAAACACGTTGCGTCCTGTCAACTTATGCACTGAACTAAACCCACTAAACTCATTCAAATCACACATGCGGCGAGTTTAGGAGAGGCGCGGGTGAGCAACACTTCGCACTTAACTCGCAATAAATAGACTGACCGGCTATCCCATTCAACATAATTGTTAACTTGCTACTTAACTCGCCAATTGTCGTTCAAACGAGATTTCCTACTTAACTCGCCAGTTTCGCAAGTTAACTCGCTACTGTATTTGTCGAAGTGTAAATCGGTCTTAAATGGCACAAGGTGGCCGGGCGGGCCACCCGAGCCCAATCCAGACACACGTTGGTGGACTTTGACAGAAGTTGTACTCTCCCCTTTAACGCTGCAGCAGAGGTCGTAGAAGAAGGTAAATGTTGGTATGGCAAGGCACCACTCTTCCTACTCTCTACGGTCAAGCTATGAATCAGATCAGCTCAGTCTTCTGGCTTAGTTTTTGCTGGTTCCATGACCTCCGCGTAACGAATTTGTTTGGAATTGGGATATTTGCGTAGATATTATAGACGTAGATATTAAAAAGTGGATAAGTGATTGTTTTACATTGTCCATTAAAAAAGAAAACCAACTTCTGCTTCTCCTGTTTGTACTGTTGCGTGCACTCGTCGAAAAGTTTCTGATTCATCTCCATAAAGAGCTTGAGGGCGTTGTAGACGAGACCGTGGATAGTCTTGTTCCAGTGGCTCTTCGTGTTCCGGTACAGCGAGGGGAACATTATCGGCAGTATGTGTGTCGCGTTGTCCGATATGAGCGACATTATGTATTCGTTGTTCCAATAGTAGAGTGCGCGTTCCGCTACCTGAAAATAAATTTTATATGAGCAGTTTATCTTTTATATCACACTATACTCTAGGCTATAAGATCGTTTGTCGTTCTGAGAACTAAAATGATACCATCTCATAGTCTATCTGTTGATAAGTGGTCACTGGAGACCATAGACTTCATGAGTATGCTTAACCTACATGTGTTCTATCTAAAGCTTACTGTCCACGAAGGTGTAGCTTCATAGGCAAGCTTGGCGTGCATAGATTTGTCCATGAAACTTACTTTTAGCGTAAAATTTTCCATATTTGTGACATTATTATTCAACAATGGACGCATCATTTTGACCTTTCAATAACTCCATTTCATAGGGCAACGTAAAACCGGCGAGCGTCATGAAGCTGCATACAGCCGATAAGAGTGTGAAAATAATTACGTACATGCAGTTTATGAAGAAACGCCTACGTGAAAAAAGTACTCAGATTGAACAGCTCGTGAGCTGTTATTACACTATCTTTATCAGCTTTTTAAACATAAAACAACATTGGGCACCGATACAATCGGAAAAAAAGGTAAGACGGTATCCAAAATGATAGCAAAAGCCCTAAATTGAGCAGTACTTAAACCTATATATTACTATGATACAAAATATCAATTTCCCCTTGCTTCAATGCAAAATGTCAATTCAATCCTACACTCATATTGAATATCAGCGGGTTACAATATTTTTAAATGAAATTTAATAGAACCAGCATGGTGGCGATTACTTCATCCCCAGGGGTTATTTGCATTTATGTATTGTTTAATATTATAATAACCCTTTTTGTACAATTTTTCCTTAACAAAACACTTGAAAGTGTTTATTGACAAATTTTGTAGATTTTCTGGAATTTTTTTTTGTAGAAGAAGGAAATTTTGTTGACATTGTATATGAGTAGTGTTGGAGTCCCAATCATTAATGGACTGCAATTTAAACTTATTAACAACAAAAAAAAAACATAATATAACAGTAATAAGAATTATCTTGTCGTTGAGGTATATATAAAAAGCAAAGTTAAGATCTATATATACATCCCACAGCTGGGCATAGATCTCTCGTTTGTGAAAGGATGACAGAGCAATTGTTACTGGGGAAGGAACACGGGTTATTCGCGTACTATATGAAAATTATTGCGAGCGCGCCAGGGCTAGGTCGCTCGCCAGGGCTTTATAAAAGTAAAGTATTATACCAGCAGACTGTAGGCGACCAGCTGATCCGTTCTCTTGCTCCTCAGGGGTCAAATATTATCTGTAACCACAGTCCTTGGTTACTACCACTGGTTGTGAATAGCAGTAGTCCCATGTGTCAGCTTTTCTCCAATAAAACCACGACAACTCACTTAGTTAACTGTTTTAATCACTATGTTCGTTCTTTAATTTCACTCTTAAATTAGATATAATACTTTATAACACACTATACTTTACTTTTATAAAGAAGACTATATATTAATTTAACTTTACTCACAACCTTTAAAATCACCTTATTTTACAATAGACTTGACTATTATAACCTTCTCAGCGTCACTGTTCGTAATCAACTGCGGCAAGCGTCAAGTGTACGCGCTTTTATATTGTGACTCAATTCTAGAATTAATGTAGGTAGTTTGAAATAGATTCATATTAATATTAATTGTGAAGATTGCTAAGTAATATTGCATAATGATCATTCATCTAATACTTGTGTAATATTATCGTGCAGTTGATAGCTTCCTACGTATTCAAAGTTTTGCCATTTGCGACATCATTGCAATCATGACTAATATTATTTTATGATATGATTACCTGAAAATGTGGACTGGACACGCATTTCGCCAGCTGTCGGAACAGTGGGTCCATGATTTTCTGGAACTCAGCTGGCTCGATGACATCGAGAATCTCTTCCATCTCGTTGAGAAACATCACCTCTTTGGGTGAATGGGTTTTCGGCCAATATTTTAATAATGCCCTGAAACCGTAGATTAAACGAATAAATATTTAAAAATATAAAAGAGTGTGTTGTGGTGAGATTGGAAGGGAGAATGGCCAATTTAAACTGTCATAGCTAAATTTGGCTTGGAATTTTAAATTCAAATAAATTTTATTTTTAAGACATGTTATCTTTTTTGAATCCGTTTGTTTTTTCTGTAAAAAATACTGTCCAGTCTATCAAGCTATGGAATGCTCTACCGTAGCGTATACGTGAAGCACAAACTATTAAGAGCATTACTTGTCTCAGTCGTTTGAACACCGTTAGAATAAATTAAGTGATTATGTATCTATTGTATTTATATGCTTTATATTATTGTTTGAGGAATTTTGTTATTAAAATAAAGTAAACATATATATATATATATATATATATATATATATAAATATATATATATATATATATATATATATATATATATATATATATATATATATATATATATATATATATGTTTTACTTTATTTTTATTATATTTTAGCAATTTATATAATTTCATGTATTAGTTATTTGTATGTTATTTTATTGCATGTATTGTCTATAAATCGCGTGTATTAATATTATATTATGTATATTTATATTGCACCACCTACCTAGTTTTCACTGTTCTAATCCTTACACCTTTGGTTGCCTGGAAGAAATCGCTATGTGGCGATAAGGCCGCTAAATTGCACTTACATAATATTATAATCTGCTTTTTGTTTTGTTATCTGTATATTTGTTTGTGGTGTGCAATAAAAGTATATTCATTCATTCAAAAATGTTAGACCGAACTAGGATTTTCTCCCGTATCGTGGGAGCAGCTTACAAACATAAATTGCACAAGGACAAACAGACCCGGAACAATTATTTCTAGACCATACAAATACTTGTTCCGTGCGGGATACGAACCCGCGGCCCCCAGCGTTGCAACTCATTGCTACGTTACTGTGTCACGGAGCTTTTCTAATGTGTATTGATTTGTTTTTAATGTGTTTTGTTTTCTTAGTTTACTCCAATTATCGTAATTTTGGTTACGCGTCACACGGCACGCAACATTAATTACGTATACGGTATGTAGCTACTAACGAACGAATTGTACGTAATCGCTTTCGTTCTTGAAATTGTCACATCACAAATATACCTCGTGGCCGCTCGGAGAAAAAGAATGATAATAACAAACTGAATGTGACAATTGAAGTGGATCTGTCTTTAAACTACGTTAAAATAATATTAGATCAGAGACCATAGTTTCTTATGGATTAGCAAGTAATCGAAAGTATTTTTTTTATATAGAATAGGTGAAACGGACACCCCCCCCAACAAAATGTATGCTCACCATCCAAAAATTCATTCTATTCATCAAACAACTGTCCATAAATGAGCAAGAATGTGTTAACAGTTTAGGTAAACATTTTAATTATTTAAAGTAAAAGAAAAACTACAACAATGTAATTTCATCATTCCTAAACATAACGGTAGTTTATAACAATTTCACTACAACAGTACTGAGCATCTAGTAAAATCCTATACCTTTAAACGAGCAATTCCTATATATATATATATATATATAATCGGAATCTCGGAAACGGCTCCAACAATTTTCATAAAATTTAGTGTCCAGAGGGTTTCTAGGGCAATATATCGATCTAGCTAGGATTCATTTTTAGAAAATGTCCTTTTGTCCGTAATTTCAGGCAATGAAAAACTGCTACAATATAAGAAGTTAAATTTTGAAAGAGTATTAACGATCGTAATAGCTCAAGTGGGATATTGGGCGGTCGCGAAATTGGAGTGCCCTGGTTCGAGTCCTGTCTCTGGTCTGGCTCTTTTTCCTTTTTTTTTCAAGTTTCTGTCTTTTGTGAGAAAATCTGTTATTTGAAGCTTTTTTTAGTATTTTTTTAAAAAATACGAAAATTTAAATTAAACTAATTGCACTCATGATTGTTTTATTCCAATAACCAGTTCAGTTTTCTTTTATTATATGTCAATAAGATCAAAAAATATTATTCATGTTTCATCAGTATGTAATTTGTATCTAAATATAATTTCCAAAAAAAAAAATACCGAGGAAAGCTCGGTCATCCAGGTACTAACACTAATACCTACAGTCAATTAACATTTAACAGCACTAAGTACAAGTCCATACCTGACAACAGGCTGAGTCAGCGACGGATCCTTTTCTAGGAACTGGACCACGCAGTATGCGAGTTGTGGGTGATACACCGACAGTGATTTCACTTTGTGCAGGGGCAGCAGTACCTGAAATAGGCCCATATACATTAATATATTACACATTTAAAACGAAGATGTTCTAAAGCTGACAGCTATAAAATTAGCTTATATTATAAATGGACTAATTATGCAAATTCCAACCCACAATGTTCCAAACCGGTAGCACAATAAATAATTTATTTAGGATAACATGTTATTAATATACTGGCTGCCAATAAATAATTGAAAACAACTCGTAATTTAAAAAATACGGTTGTAAATGAATTAGTTTTTCTAAAGACCGATTTACACTTCGACAAGTACAGTAGTGAGTTTAGTTACAGGGCAGTTGACAGTAAACGGTTAAGTGGGCAGTAGCGTTCAAACAATATCTTCGTGGCGAGTTTAGTTAAGGGCATTAGTTCATACTCATAGAGTTCATTGGAGTATGACGTTTCAAGACTACAGAATTTTTCCGGTTTTCGTTTAAGATGTTTCTAGGATTACGTCAAGAATTAAATGATCCAGTCAGAGAAGTATTAATAGTTGTTGTTTAAGAAGTTTATAAGAATTTTCATGAGTGCGGCATCTCAAGCAGGTTTAATTTTACAATTTTAACTTCTACTATTATATAAACATTCATGTTCTAAATACTCCTGTACGAATTTATACGTGATATCTTCTGTCCATTTTATTATTAAAACTCAATATAAAACGTATAAATATTCAATAAACAGTATCGTACAAACTTTGTGGCGAGTTTTATTATAAAAGTACAATAATTGTACGTTTTGGCGCGCAAACGTTGCGTCCTGTCAACTTATGCACTGAACTAAACTCGCTCGTCTACACGAACGGCGAGTTTAGTTGCAGGTGGCGGGAGACGTTTGGGAGGGCAGCACTTCGCACTTAACTCGCCGAAAAATAGCTCGGCCGGCTATCCCGTTCAACTTAATCGTTAACTTGCTACTTAACTCGCTTATTGCCGTTTAAACGAGGTTCAAACTCAACTCGCCATGTTCACAAGTTAACTCGCTACTGTACTTGTCGAAGTGTAAATCGGTCTTAAAGCAAACCTTGTTTCGATAGTCTAGATCTGAAAATTTACTAGATGTTTACTGTCATTCTATTTTTATGACATTTTTGCTTATGATTCCATGGCTCGATTTCATATTACAAAAGTATTTTTATGATTTAATCTGAGATGAGGGAACGAGAGAGAATGAACATTCTCTGATATGTACGTCAAAACTGAACGCAGCTTTGTATATTATATTGTAGATGTTATCAAAACCTGTGCAATGGCTATGCTCGACAAATATTTTTCTAAACAAACGTTGGTTTGCTCATTTGCGCATGTGAGTGTCCGGCATTATAATATAACGTGCGTACTACTTTTATAAAATTTAATAACACGCTTGCGGTTCTACCAGATTTTTTTAAATACAATATGGGTGACAAACGGTACACAGTCCACCTGATGGTAAGTGGATACTGTGGCCCATAGACATATACATTAATTCTCAATTAAGAATCAAAATACGGATACGCTGTCACCCCTGAGGACTAACATGGAATGCCACAGGGAATTCCATGTTAGACGATGGAATAAGATCCTTATTACTAAATATAATGTTATCAACATTCTCACGAAATCAAATCAATAGAGCCCCAATTCACTTTTACTATACTAGTCGATACTAAAGAGTCCCATTTTCCACCTTCTAACTTCAGTATTAGGTAATTATTGCAAAAGTGAAGTTACAGCATATAATATACTCTACCTATCTACTATACTTCCTCTTACTGCTGAGGTATATTTTTTTTTTCAGATATGCTGGTTTCCTCAAGATATTTTCCTTTGCCGTTGCCGCCGAGCACGTGGTAAATCAGCGCTTAAATTACAATAATCAATTTCATTTGTACCGGCGGGTATCGAATCCTTGTTGCTAGCATACTGTAAATTTTACAGCTAACGCTTAGCCCCTGTGCTACCACTACTCTCTAAGATTGCATTCATTTGACATGATTAAAACTACTTTTACGGATTTTATCGCGTTTATTTTTACTTTTAATTACTTTTATTTTTAATTCCCGACGTTTCGGGCGCTTTCCAGCACCCATGGTCACGGGGGACTGAGATGACTGACATCCCGATGTCATTGTTAAACCCGGAGTACCTTCAGCTTTTTTAATTATTGTTTATGGTCCGATCTATGCAAAATGAACTGACTATGTCCTGCAGTGGTATGCTTGGGTTTAGTTTTAATTTTATTGATTATAGGATCCCAAGCAGGTGGTAGTATCCAGCCTCCTTCTCTATTGCAATTAGGATGTTTTTTAATTTCAATAGCCTCACGTATCATCCGTGGTAGGAATCGGTGTTCTTTGTGCAAGGATTTGTGGTCTATCAAATCTGATGTAATATGGTTGGGGCCGTCTAGGATATAATCACAAACTGCAGACTTCCCGGAACGTTGATGCTTCACATCAGCTATATGTTCTTTTACGCGGGTCCTAATCGATTGAAATTAAAAAACATCCTAATTTCAATAGAGAAGGAGGCTGGGTACTACCACCTGCTTGGGATCCTATAATCAATAAAATTAAAACTAAACCCAAGCATACCACTGCAAGACCTCAGGACATAGTTCATTTTGCATAGATCGGACCATAAACAATAATTAAAAAAGCTGAAGGTACTCCGGGTTTAACTATGACATCGGAAGTCGTCTCAGCCCCCCGTGACCATGGGTGCTGGAAAACGCCCGAAACGTAGGGAATTAAAAATAAACGTAATTAAAAGTAAAAATAAACGCGATAAAATCCGTAAAAGTAGTTTTAATCATGTGTAATGTTCGCTTAAATATAAGAAATCATTATGCATTCATTTGAATTCAGTTTTAAATCAATACGAGACACAGAAGTATTAAATGAAAATCGAAATACTAGATTTGTTTATAAATATACCGTCACTGTCTCCCTTACAACCTATCAAAGTCCACTACTGACCGTAAACGCCTCCGCCCCAGATTGCCATAGTTGCCACGTTTGGCAATTGGGTTGGCGACCGCAGGTGTTTAATTTTTAGTCGTTATTAGAAAGATGCTGCTGCCCATCTCCTCTATTGTTTCCCTCCGTCGACTTTTACACCCACGTGATGATATTATATTATTACTATTATCATATTATATCTTGATAAACTAAACCATCAAATAACCACATTGCACGAAACTCACCCTTAATAAGAACAATTTGTGCTCCTCTTTGAGCGGCAACGCGAAGCCGTTGATGATTGAACCTAGGATCTCCAGCAGCTCTGCGATGCCGTTGTGATGTTCTGTCTCGTATATAAAACTGAAATATACAGTAATCATGTAACTTCCACAATAGTTCTTATAAGTATATTAAAAAAACATTACTATAAGTAATTAATACATATAATATGTCGGGAAAAAAAGAGCGAGGAGGGCTTCCTAGAAAATGTCAACTGCGCCATCTAGTATCGAACAGAAGAATTAAGCTTTCTGGAAACCCCACACTCTAACTTTCTGCGCCTGGTCGGTTGGCGCGCGTATTTACTTGAATATTCTGGACGTTTCGGAGCAGTATTGAATTTGGCGATACACGCGAAGGTTCGGAGCGAAATAAAGTGAATCAGTGTGATTAATTATTAGTGTATTCTTTTTAAGTTTTAATTGGTGTTCGGTAATAAAAGTGTAAATTTTGGTAATTCGATCGGCAGTTTCTATTGTCACGAACCTCAAGCTCGTAACAATTGGTGTCCGAGTGGGATTCGAACCCACGCCCACAAAAGTAGACTGCGAATCCCACTTCTGTGGATCTTTGGAAGTGATGGCTGACCTGAAGAAAACGCTGAACGACCTCAAACTTGGGGATGGAATTACAGCTCCCGTGGCAGCTACAACACCTTCAGTACGTGGATTCAAAGTGCCGCCGTTCAACGGGACCTCTTCCTGGGCGGCCTACAAAATCCAGTTCGAGGCTGTTATGAAGGCGAACGGCTGGAATAAAAGTCAGGCCAAGACTGCTCTCACACTAGGCCTGCGCGATCAGGCCTTAACTGTTCTAGAAGCTCTCGGTAAAGAAGTGACTTACGAGCAGCTCCTTGAGGCATTGGAGGCGAGATATGGCGACGCTCATCTGGAACACATCTTTCGTGCGCAGCTTAGAGATCGCGTGCAACGCAGCAACGAAAACCTGCAGCAGTGGGCCCTTGAGGTGGAGAAGGTGGTTCGGAAAGCATACCAGTCTGTACCTGCGCTCATTGAAGGGAACCTGGTGCAGGCATTCATCGACGGCATCCGCGACCTGGAAGTCAGAGCTGCTGTGAGGCTCGGGCACCACGAGACGCTTAAGGACGCCTTGGCCCATGCACTGGAGGTGGAAGCCGTTCGGCAGGATCATCGTTCCCATCGCGTCAGGGAGGTTGCAGCAGCTACAGTTCGTGACCGCAACAAAGGATATAGCCCTAGGTGCTATTGCTGTGGGGAAAGGGCCATCTTCGATCCAGCTGCCCTAAGCGAACTGTAGAAAGGGAAGTTGATCGATCTCGAGAGGGTAGTGCAGCTAACGGCACCGCCTGGCGGCGGCAGGATCATCGTTCCCCTCACGTTAGGGAGGTTGCAGCAGTTACGGGTCGCGACCACAATAAAGGATACAGCCCTAGGTGCTATGGCTGTGGGGAACGGGGCCATCTTCGATCCAGCTGCCCTAAGTGAACCCTAGAAAGGGAAGGTGAACGATCTCAGAAGGGAAGTGCGGCTAACATCACCGCCCAGCAGCAGCAGGAATACGACTTTACTATCAGACATCGCAGCGGGAAATCTCATGGCAACGCAGATGCATTGTCAAGAAGACCTTGTCCTGAAGATTGCAAACATTGTACTAGGCAAGAGAGTAAGGTAGTGGTATCCGTGAGGATGCTCAGGACAGACCACCTCAGCAACGAGTGGAAGGACAGCCTACGACATGCACAGCAGGAAGATCCGGACATCAAGCCGATTCTGAAATGGATGAAGGCCCGTGCTACCAAACCTAAGTGGAGCGACGTCTCAGCGATGAGTTCGACCACTAGAAGCTATTGGGCCAAATGGGACAGCTTGCTGATTCAGGATGGAGTCCTGTGCCGTAAATGGGACAATGGTCGAGGAGACAGCTGTCGTTTGCAAATGGTTGTCCCTAAAGCTGAAGTGCCGAATGTTCTACAGCTGCACCATAATGGTTGTTCAGGAGTCCATCTGGGAGTTAAACGAACTCTACTGAAGATCCGAGAACAGTTTTACTGGGTCCATTATCGTGACGATGTCGAGGATTGGTGTCGCACATGTACAAGTTGTGCGGCTGTGAAGGGACTTCAGACTCGTAGTAGAGGTGCATTGAAATTGTACAATGTTGGTGCACCATGGGAGAGGACACTCCTTGAAGTTGCGGAGCCGTTTCAGAAAGGTGCAAGAGGTACTCCTAAGATCGTTCATGTGGATCGACTGGCGCGTTATTATGGGGCCGATAATGCTCGGGACGAGCATGTATTAGGAGGGGGCAGTGTTGCGCGCCTAAGTTGACGTCAGGTGCCTGGCACTAGCGCCATCTAGTGTCGGGAAAAAGAGCGAGGAGGGCTTCCTAGAAAATGTCAATCTTGACTTTCGACCAACAGCGCCATCTAGTATCGAACAGAAGAATTAAGCTTTCTGGAAGCCCCACACTCTTAACTTTCTGCGCCTGGTTGGTTGGCGCGCGTATTTACTTGAACATTCTGGACGTTTCGGTGAAAAATGTGTATTTAAAGGCGCTGTAAGACGCGGTCGGGCAGTATTGAATTTGGCGATACACGCGAAGCTTCGGAGCGAAATTAAGTGAATCAGTGTGATTAATTACTAGTGTTTTTTTTAAGTTTTAATTGGTGTTCGGTAATAAAAGTGTAAATTTTGGTAATTCAATCGGCAGTTTTTATTGTCAGGAACCTCAAGCTCGTAACAATATTAATCATACGATTACTGATTCATTTGCGTCCCATTGAAAAAATAAACAAAGCTCGGAAAGTAGGTCAAACCTTTTTTGTTTAGTTAAGTTTGTTTTATTTTATTCAACCCGCTCATAAATGTGATCGTATTCTGAAAAGTATTGCAAACCGTTTTTAAAAGAGGATCTTGCATGGCCATAAAAAACATTTGTCGCAATAGCTGGATCCAAGCCATGTTACAAACGTAAATTGGGTCAAAAAAGTGGTGTACTGAAACTTTAGAAGGTTGATCAACAATTACTGCAGAGATATAATTTCAAGCAATGACAAATAACCTCAGTATCAAATAAAGAAGACAACAAGTTTACGACATCATTCACAGACTTCACAACGTACTGTCTCAAAATTACATGAGTTTCGAATGGAAACTCCGTTATTCAGTTATTTTTTAGTTTAGTTAAGTTAGTTTATATTTTACATTGATAAGCTACAAAAAGACAACGTTGTTGTCACATAACTAAAATAATTACACTAAATTTTAGGTTGCCACATGTATTTGACACTGGACTTTAGTGAGTCCAACAATTTGGATCCTTTAACTAAGGCAGCTGTGATGCGAAAAGAAGCTGCGGATTTAAATAGCCGAGGCATTAATGATTTTACTAAAACATGTTTAGATATATAAAATGGAAAATCCACGGATAAAGACCTAATAAAAATACTCGAACATAATCACTTTAGGAAGGCCAGTATAATAATGACAGGCTGTGAGCAATTCCATATTAGTCCTCAAAGGTGACAAAGCATCTGCAGCTATTTGATGATGGTTGCAAGTGTCCATGGTCTACAATAGCCACTTACATCAGGTGGACTGTGAGTTCGTGTCACTTGAAATTTATAAAAATAAACATCAACAGTTAAAGGGGATAAACGTCCAGCTAAAAGCGCCTACTAAACATACGGAAGTTGAGTTTAGACAGTTAATACATCGCTCGTCGCATAAGAAAGGGAAATTTATTTTTAAAACCCCCCCCCTTTTGTTGCCCCCCCACAAAAACACCCCCCCCAAAGAAAAAATTAATTTAAAAAAAAAAAAAATAATAAATTATTAATAAAATTTTTTTTTTTTTTTGGGTTTTTTTTTTTTTTTTAAAAAAAATTTAAAAATTTTTTTTACAAACCACCACCCCACCACCCAATATCTCAAAAAAAAAAAAATTAATATCATAGAATTTGATTCATTACTTTTTTTCTAAAAATGACCTCAGGAGGTTATTATTTGCATTTTATGAAGACATTAACAACCATGTTTTATAAATTTTGTTCGGATTTAGGCTATATTTTATCCGGAGAACATAGAACTTTTTTTAAATGAAAAATTGATTAAACAGTAAGTCTTTATCTTAAAATTAAATAACACCACATTAAAATTTCCTTTCCAGGCGAAGCCAGGGTGTATCGCTAGTAAATTAATATATAGAGCGGGGTCGTCGCATGTACTAAATAGGACGCCGCGGGTGATCTTGATGCGGGAAACCTCAACATCGCCAAAATATTGCGTCACCTAATTTTGTTTTCGTTTGCGATATTCATAGCGATGCCAATGATAACATACCGATATGATTCATTTGCAAAAGAGGACAGAGCCAAGGTAAAATAAAAATAATAAATATAGATAGGTTCTGTTTACGGATTAGTATGCTGAAGTGGCAATTGTGCCGGCCATATAGTTCGAAGAACCGACAACCGATGGGAAAAAAGGTTCTCCAGTGGCAGCCTCGTACCGGTAGGCGTAGTATAGGGCGATCCCCCACTATATGGAGTGACGATTTGTTAAGCAGGCATGCAGGCAATCGAAGGATGCAGGTGACTCAGGACCGCGCTTAGTGGCATTCCTTGGGGAAGCCCTACGTTCAGTAGTGGAATTGTGAAGGGTTGTAATGATGATTTAGCTGAGGTTCTGTTTACAATGCCAACCCACCTGGTGGTATGTGGTTATTGCATTCCATTGACATCAACGTCCTAAGACCAACTTCAAACAAAGAAGGGTGCGGAAGCCTTGTCACCTCGCACACAGCAGTGCGGGCACTGCTATTTAGTGCCAGAAATAGGTAAGATAGGTGGTTCCTATCCATAAAAACTACCTGGTAGGGATGAAGTCCTACGACCAACTAATAGAAAAAATATGTATTTACAAGCAATTATATTTGCCATAACGTAATCATATAAAATATTATTTGCTTGGCATTGCAAAGTGGGTGGTCGTAAATAGTACAATAATACAAAACTGATTCGTTGATTTAGTGGTGGTAGTAGTGCGACTGCTGATCATAAGGTCCCGGGTTCGAATTCCGGGTCGGGCCAAAAAACAGTTTATTGAGTTTTTCCGTCAAGAAATTCTCAGTAGCTGCCCGGAGCCAGGAAGTTAGCGGTGTCTCACCCCCGTGCCTCGGAAAACACGGAAAGCCGTTGGCCCTGCGCCTGATTTCTCTCCAGTTGTGTGTCGGTTTACCGTCCCATCGGATTATGAGAGTGAGGGAATAGAGTGCACCTGAGCTTGCGCATACACTTGGGCACTATAATACTGTTCTTCGCCGACGGCTAGTCTCCGTTGAGACTGATCGCCGTGACCGAAATATTGGTCTGTAGGACATTATTATTATAATACAAAACAAACAAGAACAGGAGACTAACCTATAAAATACATTATTAATTTGTTTCCTTATGTAGGCGCGTAGTACTAAGAATTTTCCGTATATCCGATGTAGTGTAGTCTTCAGGAAATCCCGCTCCCGCGGGTCCTCTGTGTCAAATAAGTCTAGTAACTGAAACAAGTACATAGAAAATTTAATAATGCAAAATTAGAGGCAAAGAATGATACCGGGGGTAAGAGCAGTGGTGCAGCTTCCATTAAAGCCGAAAAGCCGGGCTTGCCTTATTAAACCTGAATCAATCAATAATATCAACGAATAAAATATCTCGTAAAATGTTTCAAGCTATTTCAAATTTCCCGCGCACTCCACTGTTCGACACATGTCGACCGATGACCTCGTATTGCCTTAGAGATACTGCTGCTGTCATAAAGAATGAGTTTTAATAGAGCTAATAGTTGTCTCCCTCGCTCGCGTGGGCTTTTTAGGGAGCTTTCGAGAAGACGATCGCTCTCTTTCTAACCTATGGTAAAATATTCTATAATGAAATATAACTACGATTGTATATATAGCAATTAGTATAGAGATTTAAAGCCAGGCTTTTGGGAATAAATTTGTTAAAAGCGGAGGCGCGCGCAATACGTTTGCAAGTTCATTTCACGTTTCAATGTTTATTTACTCTGTGTGCTTATCTTAAGCGATTTAATATTACGAGTTCAAAATGGATGCTTTTTTAAAGATTTTTAATGAAAATGGAGGATAATAGTGTTCCTTGTGATGAATTGAAGTGTATTAAAGTGATAATCGGAGAGGAAATCTTTAAACTCTGTTGAGATAATACACAAGGTTAAGAGTGTATTTCAGACTTATCAATTATCGCAATTAAAAAGAGTTATTGGTACAATTAAAACGTTCACCAACATTTTACGTGAACGTAATTAAATCTTTGAAAAAACCACTTATCTTATCTCTTATCCATTAGAATGTAAATAATTTTTTTAAATTTGTACATAGTTTGTTTGTACTTTGTTCGTGTTTTACTTTTGTTCATGTATTGTATTGGATGTAAATATTTTTTTTCTTTCGCTTAAACAAACCCAAACGGCTTTCTTCAAAGCCTTATGGGTGCCGTAAAGCCGTATGCCTTCTGTGTGCTTTGTTAAACACGTCCTTGACAGCACTGAATATGAAACTGAAGCGTGGAGACAGATCAAGATTGGTGTATTTTTATAAAACTGCTAAAAACAACAATCTATATTTTTATCAATTTATATCTTGGGCTTGCCCTAGCTTGCAGCTCTAGCTTCGCCACTGGGTAAGAGTAGATGTCATATGAGTTTAAATAAGTTATAAAATTGTAAGAAAATTCTGTCGTTGCATTTTCTATTCGTTGGTAATTTTAGTGGGGTTAGTTCATCATGTTGCTGTTTTTTTTTTAACCAACAATACGATGGTGTACTTCGAACTCGTTTTGTGTTCGCGCCAATCATTGAGTACTGAGCATAGAATACTATAATAAACAATAGAATGGCTGTCAACTTTATCTTATATGAGGATTGGCGTCGCCAAACCCGATTTGCTGTGTTGACAGACTGAGTAAATTTACACATTTTGGACTTTTGATTAATGTTCAAGAACATCAATAAATTTTAATACATATAATATTGGTAAATAGGGTGCAATTTAGCATTTTCTAAATAATTCGCATGCAAAATTTGGAAACGATTGTAACGCCAAAACACATGTCGTGTTGACATTTATACGTGTGAATTGACGTGTTCGTGACATTTTAGTGGCTACGCGGGCTCCGCCCACTCCCCCGTTCTATTATGTATGTATTATAGTATTCTATGGTACTGAGCAGCGAATCAATCGGACATCGGGATAAGTGTTGTCTCCCCTTCGCTTCACCTCATATCCAGACCTAAATACACTCCCTTTACACATAAAGATCATCAGCGTTCGTCGTCCGTCACGTTTGCGTGTATTATAATCATCGTGAAGATAATAGAATATTTCTATTTATATTTAATGTGTGTTTTTTTTTACAATCATCCATAAAAAATTTATTTATTTAAGTCATACTTGTTCATTAAAACCACTACGTCGATGTCTATTTCATACCATAAGATTACACACTTTATAAATGTGGCGGAGATGGTTTTAAGGTTGAGTGAATAGAGTTCCAGACCACTTTCTTTGAGGTTTTCAACAAGCACACATTCCAATTGACGGTAAGAGGATGATATCTTCCATAGATACCTATATCTGTCCTCGGGTTGGGTTTGAAATTTAGTCGCCTGAATTTGAGGATTCAGTCAAACTGCGTAAAATGAATCGCTAGGCCAGCTATTTTGTTGACAGTGACAGATATACTTTACATGATTAAAACGTACTTTTACGGATTTTATCGCGTTTATTTTTACTTTTTATTTACTGTTATTTTTAATTCCCGACGTTTCGGGCGCTTTCCAGCACCCATGGTCACGGGGGACCCCGGGGGATAAAAAGTAAAAATAAACGCGATAAAATCCGCAAAAGTAGTTTCAATCATGTATAGTGTTCGCGTAAATATAAGAAATCATTAGATATACTTTACGTCATTCCGTTCTTTACGAGTTTATGTAAATATGTTCCTTAACGTTTTCATCTGCCTCCACCTGTTTTTCGACGACTTCGCTATCCCTCTGGATCCTTTTTTACAAATGGGGCTATGGATTATGTTTATAAAAAAAGTAAAGTAAAGTTACAGCCTATATACGTCCCACTGCTGGGCTCAGGCCTCCCCTCATTTCTGAGAGGGTTTAGGGCAAGGAAGTGTCCGCCGCGCTGCCCAAATGCGTGTTAACGAACGTCACATGTCTTCGAAATATTTTTTTTCTTATTCCTCAGACATGCAGGTTTCCTCACGATGTTTTCCTTCACCGCCGAGCATGTGGTAAATCAGCAATTAAAATTGCAATTAACTATTTCATTGGTGCCGGCGGGGATCGAACCCGGGTTACTCGCGTTCTGTTATATTTACAGCGAGCGTTAACCACTGAGCTACCACGGCTCTGATTATGTTTGTAATTTAAAGTAATTATAAAAGTTAATATTTTGGTATTTTATTGAGTATAGGAACGAGCGAAGCGAGCTTGGGACTTAGGGCACTCCGGCTATGGCGGGATCGAGTGAAGCGAGCGAATATACCCCGCCGTCTCTTTCATGGTTATTACTTTTATAAACCACTCATACTCGACTGCGCTACGTTGAGTGGCGTAGACCCCCCCCCCAACTCTCCCCCCCATAAATCAGGTTTATAGTCAACAAAATTACGAAAACCAAACCTCAAAATAAGATTTTTAAAATTTATAAAAAAAAAACTAAGCCTGTCCGGCAGGGGTGTGGTAGTGGTAGTGGGGGGGTGACTCTACAACTCTTCCGCCTCCCTCCTCCCCACCCCCTAATTCAGGCTACTTAATTTCGAACATTACCCCTGTCCTCGATTAAGAATGAATATATAATGCATTGCAGCCACATCTGAGGACTAAGATGGATTCCTTGTTACCTTAAAAGGGTCTTCGGGTGTCGTCGTTCACCATCTACCACGTATATACATCGATATAAATGACAAGATATGGTAGTGCGAACAAAAATTTTTTACGGGTTAAGCATAGTATAAATCAGCGCCAACTCTTAACTACTCATGAACTATCTCGGAACTAGTATTTACACTTATGATTTTATTTGTACCCTAGAACCTGTAGAAAAACTCCCTAAATTATCATAAAAAAACCGAAATACCCTTATTCATTGCACCTCATTTTCAATATTCTACAGAACAACATCATTAAAAGACTTGAATAAATTTCACAATTAAAAATCCTGAGTTTTGTGATGAGGAAAACGTTCTCATTTTCAAATTATAATAACAATTAGTCCCATATGAATAAAAAGTGAAATAAATATGTAAAATGTATATCATATAAAAAAGTAAAATATTATACCATTATTCAGATATATAGAATCAAAAACTTTTTTATTTTACACTTTTCTAACTCTTGTGACCTTTTGATAAATCTTTAAAAAAATGACATTGGGTGGGTATAAAAAACAGGGTTTCCTGAAGTTCAATTTTATCCCTAATTATCCAAAACCCTGTCAACTTGAAGAAACGCCGAAAGCCCTAACCTATACTTTACTCTAAAATATCGCAAAATGTCTAAAAGTGGAAACACTGCACGGACACACATTACGCATTGGTGCTCGCGTTCGTGCTCCATAAACATTTTCGCATTTTTTTAGCAATATAGTTGTGGTACGAATAGGTCTGCTCGACCGACGAAGGACCACGCTCTCATGCTGCGGCTACACTAACGAGCAACGTCAATGCCCATAAACGCAACAATTATTGCCTTAAATTTAACGCGATAAAATGAGTGGCTACACTTGAACGGTCAACGTCGTTTCCCGTTGAACGGCATTAAATTTGCCGTTGAACGGCGTTAATATAAAAAATAAACAAATATAATATATAGTTAATAGTTTATAAAATAAAAAATAAACAAATAATACAAAGAAAAAGAAAATGGTGGATGCTAAAAATGCACAGGAAACGTACACTGTAAATCTATTTATGTTTTATTTTTTTCCCGCACCCAAATTGCACTAGAAAGATGTCCAATGGTTTAAGCTAAATAATAAGACAAACGTAAATATATTTTAATGAAATAATAACTAATAAGCCAATCATAAATACTGGTCAAGTGCGAATTAGATACACTTACCCAGGGTTTCGTATTATATCTATGGTTTCGTACCACTGTACACTATGAATTTTGACCTGCCAAAATTGTATTTTTTTCTCCTGCTTATTTTTCTTGGTTTCATACCGTAAATTAAAGTATACTTTTGAAGTAATTTTTTTTTTAATTCAATCTCGAAAAGCTTTTTCATTACTCCACTCCATCGCAGTCATACGTGCAACCCCGTGGCACTCACCGTGCACAATGAGACAAACGTAGTGTGGCCGCTTCAACGCGATAATTTATGCCACTCGAGTTATCGGCAAACGGGAAACGGCATTGTTAATGCCGTTGTCAAACTATTGCGATAATTCGTGGCCACACCTAGATTCAACGTCCATCAACGCGATAATTAACGGCATTTCTCCTTAGTGTGGTCGGGCCATAATAAAACATTATTTACTGGTTTTAGGGCAAGTGAAAGCAACAGTTTCCCACGAAATATGCTAACAGATTTGTTTAATCTTTCCAATGGATCCCACGTGTATAGTTTTGTTCGTATCATTGTATAAATGTGGCGGAAAAGTTATCTCGTCAATTTAGTGCTTTTTTCTATCTGATTCTTTTAAGAAGTAGTTTGTTCGTATTAAACGATGTGATATTCCCGTATGGAACCCTAAGTGGCGTGATATGGCACATTTGGGCGCCGTTATAAATAGTTAGGTACGTCAAAGATATCCAACTAGGGCTGCAAAATGTTTTATGTAGTCAACAAAACGTCTGATATCAGAGGGGGAAAATAAATTAACATACTTTAAAAAAACCTATCATAAATTTTGAAAACCATATTTTTATGTACTTTTTGCGGTACATAACGGATTTTTTTACTAGAAAACTTCAGTCATATAAATAGAACAATTTAGTATATATACACATATATATATATATATATATATATATATATTGCTTGTAACTTTACTTGTTATATTTAGGCTGACAGAAAATACGTTTTTTTTATAGAATAGGGTGACGACAAACGAGCACATAGTCCACCTGATGGTAAGTGGTTGCTGCGGCCCATAGACATCTACATCTATCCTCGATTACGAATCAAAATGCAGATGCGTTGTCACCCGTGTGGACTAGGATGGAATGCCTCGTTTCCAGTGAAAAGGGTCTCCGGTTCTCTACACTCACCATACGAAATACAGCAGCATTAAGCTACTATTTCACGCTGGTATTCTGTGAGAGCGTGGTCCTTCCCCGGTCGAGCCGACCCATTCGTGCTACAACTATACTACTAATATAACTGCAGCATGGCTCTACCTTCAATTTGTTATACTCACCTTGCTCATTATGATAACTACGGTTTTTGTTTCAAATGTTTTTCCTACATATGTCAATAGATAAATAAACAAACAAGCACGCAGTCTAGTCATAACAGCAGGCTTATTCTTGGAAAGGCATTACATATTTTAATTCTCCCCTCCTCTTTCCACCATCGGAATGTCGGCACAATCCAAGTCGGCGGGTTTCACCCCTTTGTTATCGATATTCCACGTATTGGAACTAAACGGTTTGCTTCGTATTTCGTTACGCTTATAGCAAAGGAGTGGAATCTGCCGGTGTCTTTCTTTCCGTCCGCTTACAATCTGAGCATCTTCAAAGCACGAGTGTAATACGCTTTTGTCACGCTAAGTACCACCACAGTCAGGCTAGATAGTATTATATCTTTACGAAGTAACGAGGAAAAAAAGAACATGACGTACTTGTAAAACAAACTTCTGATCAATATACTTCTTGGCGATGTTCGGCTGGAAGTCTGGCGACTCGAGCAGCCTCAGGAACAGTTCATAGACCAGCTGAAGGTGTGGCCATGCAGCTTCTAGAGTAGGCTCGTCCTCCTCAGGGTCGAACTCGGCACCGTTCGGATTCGAAGATGGCGGCAAAGTTCGGAACAAATTGATCGCGAACTGCAAGGGTTAGATTTATTAGAAAGACATGTTGATTGAAACGATAAAACAATTGTTAAAGTTTTATTAAATTCTGTAGTTAAGATGAAAAACTTCTTTTGGATAAGACAATAATTACAAGATGAAGGTGAGAAAAACAAGTTCAAATGTAGACTGAAAGAAAATATAAGTGGTTTGGATGAATTATGTATGAAGAAGTTAGACTTGGAGAATGTATGGCAAAATGTAAAGAAAGGTTTAGTGGATGCAGCTACCGAAGTATGTGGTGTTAGTAAGAGAAAGAATGAAAGGAAAAATAATACGTTATGGTGGGATGATGAGATACGTATGGAAGTTAAAGCAAAGAAGAGAGCATGGCTAGATTTACTAGCAACAAAGGCTGGTAATTCTAGCGGTACGAATGATGATATTGTAAGAAAAAAGGCAGTCTTTAGACATCTAAATAAGAGAGTAAAAGAAGTAATTGAAAGAAAAAAGCAAGAAAGAACGGATAAGAATGATAGAAGAATATCTGATAACTTCCAGGCAAATATTAAAATGTTCTGGAAACTTGTAAGAACTGCCAGGGGACATTCAAAACAGCCTATGATGAATGCTATAAGAGACGAGAATGGCTATATTCTGAATGATGAAGTTTTGAGTTTAAAGAGATGGAAGAAATATTTTGAAAGCGTGTTTATGAGTGAGGAGACAACGTGTGTACTAAATGAATTAGAAACTCCGAAAGAAGAGGAAAAAGGTAGCGAGATAAGTATAGATGAAATAATGAAAGCAATGAAAAGCATGAAAGCAGGTAAGGCTGCCGGATATGATAGAGTTTCACTCGAAATGCTAAGGGCTGGAGAGGAAGTGGTGGCAGGCCTGCTGCACACCTTGTTTAATTTATGCTGGGAACTGAAGCGGGTACCGGTAGACTGGTGCAAAGCCGTGATAGTCCCAGTATATAAAGGAAAAGGGTCGCAGCGGGACTGTAAAAACTACCGTGGCATCAGCCTTCTTAGCATTGTGGGAAAACTGTATGCTAAGGTACTGATTGAAAGTGTCATGAAAGAAACTGATGGAAAAATTTGGGATGTGCAAGCGGGATTTAGAAAGGGAATGGGGTGTACAGATCAAGTCTTTTCCATGCGCATGATCGCGGAGAAGTTTATGGCCAAAAACCAAAAGGTTTTTTGTGCGTTCATGGACTTGGAAAGGCCCTATGACAGAGTGGATAGAGATGTGCATGGCAAACACTGAACTCATGTGGGTTGATCGCTGGCTTGATACAGGCATTGGAGTCTCTTTATAGGGACTCTAGTGCTTGTGTTAGGATCAACGGACTCTGCTCGGACTGATTTGGCATCCATAAAGGTGTCAGACAGGGCTGTGTGTCTTCCCATGGCTGTTCAACCTATTTATGGACATATGCGGATTAAGAATGGGTGAGTTAACCGTCAAATGCCTTTTGTACGCCGATGATCAAGTTATTTTTGCGTCGTCGGCGGCCGAGTTGCAAATGATGGTTATATTAATGAACAGATCATTAAAAGAAAGGGGTATTAAAGTAAACGCAAGTAAGACGAAGGTTATGGTTTTTGAAAGAGAAGAAAGTAAAACGATTTGCAAAATAAGAATAGAAGGGGAGTAGATCGAGCAAGTAGATGAGTTTGTATATTTGGGCTGCGTATTTAGCAGGGATGGGAGATATGATAAGTATATAGAACGACGAGTGAATGCGGGAAATAGAGTAAATGGGGCCCTGCACTCTATTGTGAAGAGTCAAAATGTGTCGAAAAAGGCACGTATGGCAATTCACAATGCTGTGTTGGTCCCTACTTTAACGTATGGTAGTGAAAGTTGGGTGTGGCAGAAGAAGCACGAGAGTAGAATAAACGCAGTAGAAATGCGGTCGTTAAGGAGTATGTTAGGGCTGAATCTGAATGACAGGGTAAGAAATTGTGTAATAAGAGAAGAGTGTGGTTTGCAAGATGATGTTGTGACCAGGATTAAAAAAGGAATGCTTCGGTGGTTTGGTCATGTGGAAAGAATGAATGAGGAAAGAGTGACAAAGAAAATTTATGTTGCAGAAGTGAATGGCAGAGTCGGAAAGGGACGTCCTAGGTGAAAATTTATCGACCAAATTGGCGATTTATTGAAAACGGGCCAAATTAGGAGTACCCTTAACCGACGAGCATGTATGCGTAGGTGTATGGATGTGAAGGAGGAGAGAGAGGTGTGTCAGGATCGTGCCAAATGGAAGTCTGTAGTCTCTGCCTACCCCTCTGGGTGACAGGCGTGAGTGTTTATGTTTATGTACAATAATTATGAGGCGTCGCTTACTACATTTTATAATCCAGTAAGTAGTCCATTTCACATACACATGCACGTCTACTAATAGTAGAGACATAAGGGAAATTCACCATAATTGCTTCCCTTTGTGGATTGGTCTCAGTATCAGAGGCCTTACAACTTTGACAATACTCTGACGTCTGAGTATTTTACATCTTGCATATTATAAAATCGATATCCGTCGATCTTTCGACTCTGTATGAGTACTACTACGGAAGACATTATTTTTTACAAATCAACCAAAATGCTATATTTCTGTACTGGTCTGGTTTACCTTACTCATCAGTTTATCTAAATGTGAATGCCATGACAAGCGCTGATCAAGAACTACTCCCAGATGTCTAGTATCCACAACTTTCTCAATTGATTGGCATGCACATGATGAATTATTTCCATAATTATGTATCCTTAAAAAAGTCATCACTAGGTTACGTTCTTTTATTAATTGTAAAACACATAAAATTTGTTTTGCTATCGTTAAGGGTAAGAAGGTTTGAGTTTATCCACTGAGCAATTATTTCTAGTCCCTCTTCCGCGATCCTTTGAACTTCAGTCCATGTTTCACCAGAGAATACAATAGTTGTATCATCTGCGTAAGAAAAAAAATATTGGCATTTGCGATTTTAAGGTTACACGACATGAAGTGATAGATTCTCTGACACTACGTCTGGTTCAACAACAATAGAATACATTTTGTATTATTGTTACTGGTTATTAGTGTTTTTTAAATTTATCGCATCAATACCAGGTATGGTGTTGATTTTTATCACACCCCAATGTCAGTCAGGTCTTTCATAACGCAGTAAAGTGAACCAAAGCAAACTCACCATGCCGTGTAGTGGCGGTGTACGCATACCCACCACCCCATATCGTCACGTGGGTGTCGTAAGAGGTGACAGAGGGAAGCTGAATCAGGCGAAGGGCAGCAGCCTCTTCCTGATAACAGCTCGAAAAAATAAAAAAACTGCGGTTGACAACCTGCTCGCCAGGCGTTTCAACTATGGCAAAATATCACCCCTATGAGACAATCTATGGGGGAGACTATGTTCGGCAGTTGATTTTTATTGGCTGTAATCGATGGATGGATGGGAACTCACCATGTTGACCGCCTCCGGATAAATAGCCTCTGTGATGACGCCGCGCTGAGTGGTGACGTAGTCGACCATCTCGAGCAGCGCGGCGCGCTTCACCTCCTTCCATTTCAGGTCCGAGAGCGGCTCGTCCGCGAAGTCGAACAGCAGGCAGCACTGGCGTAGCTTCTGCACGAACAGTTGCTCGCGTTCCGCTGCCGGTGCATCTGCACGGTACAAAAAGAAATGCAATTAAACAATTCTTGAATAATCATTTCGTAACTGAGTAAGGGAATAGTGGTGGTGTAAGAATATCCACGTAGCGTCTTCCTGATAATAACTCGAAATAATAAAAAACTGCGGTTGACAACCCGCCTAACAAGCGTGGCTACTATGGCAACATCCCCCTATGAGGCAATTTAAGGAGAGGCCTATGTTCAGCAGTGGACTTTTACAGGCTGTGATGATGATGATCAATCAACTGATTAAGATAGAGAGGAGATTTCAGGTCTCTATATGTGAAATGAAACGTTTTTTTGTAGTATAAGGGTGACAAACGAGCACACAGTCCACCTGATGGTTAATGGATGCTGTGACCTATAGACATCTACATTCTCCACGGTTAAGATTTAAATGCTTTGTCACCCTTGAGGACTGAGATAGAATGCCTCGTTACCAGTAAAAAAAGGTTCTATACACTCACCATATGAAACAAAGCAGCAGTAATCTGCTGGTATTCCACTCCTGCTAATCTTGCTTAGCAATTGTTCGTACGAAGTTGATGGAGCATAGTAACACTTATAACATTTAGATGGTAAAGCTAAGCTATGGCCGTAACACGAATGGGTCAGCTTGACCAGTAAAGGACTTCATAAACAAAATATCAGCGTAAAATATCAGTATAATGCTGCTATTTCTCGTATTGTGATGTCGAGAACAGTAAACCCTTTGACGATACTCCTTGTAACGATATTTTTCATTTTATTTTCTATTTTTTTTAAACTTATTATAAGCCAGTGTTTGACAACAATTCCATCTTAGCGTAACAAAAGCCTAGTCACTCGTCTTGAAGACGAGTGATTGTATTCAGACGAAAAGATAGTCGCCGGAAAATTATACCACTTCTTTGTTGTACGCATTAAAAAGACGAAGCAAACCATTTGATTCTAATGTATGGAATATCGACAACGAATGGGCAAAAACCCTCTGACGGCCTGCTTGTCCGATGGTAGAAAAGAGAGGGAGGAATTAAAGCATGTAACTTCGGCGCCTACTCACCGAAATGCAATCTCTAATACATAATTAAGGATGGAAGTGTCTATAGGCCACAGAATCCTCTTAGTATATATAATCTACCTGAGATTACGCTCGTTTATATCACTACTCTTATAAAAAAAACGTATTCACAAAACACGAGTTAACCAATAATTTGGGATAAGCCAAAATAATCTACTGTGCAACAGAAACTAATAAAACCTAAATAAGATCAGTTGTCGCAGCATTGATTATTGCTCTAAGGTGAAGTCAAATTATGACTTATTACGTCATTTATTTTCTAGTAGCTTCCAAAAGTTTTAATAGAATGAATTTATGACTTGCCATTCCTGTACCTGATAGACACATTGACACGCCATTGACGTCTGATTCCTAAGTCCAAATCCCAGCAAGAGCCCACATTTACAACAAGACCGCAGCTACGAAGGATTACATCGGTATGAGCGATGAAAGGAACAACCTAATTTTCTCCAATACGATCGCTGGAGCAGAAAAGTATTATAATAATAAAACGGGTTTCAAGTTGTTGAATATTCTGCACGGCTTCGCTCAGAGTAGGTCGTTTTCCATCGAAGTCCGTAAAAAAATGTTGCTGACGCAAATTCGTCATAGTTTTCCTTGTATAGAAATTATATAGTTATTATAATATACTTAATGACAGCAGGTTCAATTTTAAGACAGAAATAAATTACTGGTAGTATGGTTTTATTGATAATTGCTAATTTTAAAATATCTAAATATTAATCATAGATTTTTTAATTTAATTAAACATTATGATAGATACATGGGTCACACATCTATTTAACAATTATTTTAAATACTCTATATACTAAGCTCGTAGTTTTTTATCGTGGTAGAGCCATGCTGCAGTTATATTAGTAGTATAGTTGTAGCACGAATGGGTCGGCTCGACCGGGGAAGAACCACGCTCTCACAGAATACCAGCGTGAAATAGTAGCTTAATGCTGCTGTATTTCGTATGGCGAGTGTAGAGAACCGGAGACCCTTTTTACTGGAAACGAGGCATTCCATCTCAGTCCTCACGGGTGACAACGCATCTGCATTTTGATTCGTAATCGAGGATAGATGTAGATGTCTATGGGCCACAGCAACCACTTACTGGTAGACTGTGTGCTCGTTTGTCACCCTATCCTATTTAAAAAAAAATTAGCTCGGGTTCGTATCCCGGATCAGCCCAAAATCAATTATTGGATTGTTCCGTCTAGTATTTCTCAGTTCTACAGAACAAAAGCGAGCCCGGAGTCACCCCCGTGCCTCGGAAAGCACATAAAAATCATTACTCCTGCACCTGATCTATCTCCGATTATGTATGCTTGCCGTTCTATCAGACTATGAAAGTGAGAGAATAGAGAGTGCACAGGTACAGACACTATAATCCTGTTCTGCGCGAGCAAGACTGACCGTGACGAAAACGCTCGGTCTGAGAGACATTATTGTAGCTTTATGGATTTTAGATTTCGCAAAATTTACGATTACTACAAACTTTAAATGAACTTGCATTAAAACAGAGTCAAAAAGTAAAGGTTATACAAATAATCACAAAATATGATAAAGATGGGATTGATAATGTTGGATGTTATCAACTATGCTACAGGTATAGTGTTTAGTGCCACAAGCCGACGCGCTAACACAGATTCACTCACTTGTTCTAACCTACCCGTGGCTGATTAGACCGTACCGACTTAGAAATTCAAGGCAAGACCATCAACCGTCAAGATCTTGGGTTTTTTTTATTGAAAAGAGATGGTAATTATTGCATATCTTGATCATAATAATTCTGTTACTGACAGGCACTTCCCATGCAGAACAAATAAAAAATTGTGCAACGAAAAACGCAAAAAAAAAAACGGCGAGGCAAACACGCAAAGATTGGTTTGTTACATCAAGATACCGCCCCGGCTCACAAGTCCGCTGTTGTGATGGCTGCAATTCGAGATGTTAGTTTTGGAACATTTAAGTATCCTCTATATTTTTCTTCATATACATATATATATATATATATATATATATATATATATATATATATATCATTATCCTATTATTCATGGCACAGTGGACAAACGTTTGGTCGCTGCGCTGCTGCGCTGCGGGTTCGAATTCGAACCGCGCACAAAACAAGTGTTTGTATGGCCCACAAATAATTGTTCAGAGGCCAGATGTATGCCCTTGTGATATTTATGTTTTTTTTTTTTTTATAGGATAGGGTGACAAACGAGCACACAGTCCACCTGATGGTAAGTAGTTTCTGCGGCCCATAGACATCTACATCTATCATCGATTACGAATCAAAATGAAGATGCGTTGTCACCCGTGAGGACTAAGACGGAATGCCTCATTTCCAGTAAAAGGGGTCTCCGGTCTCTACACTCACCATACGAAACACAGCAGCGTTAAGCTGCTATTTCACGCTGGTATTCTGTGAGAGCGTGGTCCTTCCCCGGTCGAGCCGACCCATTCGTGCTACAACAACTATACTACTAATATAACTGCAGCATGGCTCTACCACGTAAAAAATGTATGTAAAGCGCCTCCAAATACAAGAGACAATCCTACTCTGGTCGGTTATACTTTTTTTTAATAATAAAAAAAGAATATTCGCCAGACCTTGCATCTATTGATTTCTATCTATTTCTGAGATGGAATTAGTCTTGAACGAATGAATTAGTATACGAGAGGGCAGACACATGATAATAATGAGGCAGAAGTTCCTGTCTGTAGGCAGTAGAATTTTTGCGTGCTCAGGTTGAAGAATTCTTTAGGAAATGAAATTTGGTGTATTACACTAAAAAGTGACTATTTCGAAAATTAAAATAACATTTAATAAAAATGTAGCATATTAAGTAGGTATTTGTTCTCACTCATATTATTCTATTCTTTTCTACTAGGCCATGTCGTTATCAATATGGTCGTAACAAAGTACCTATGTTTTTTATACATACAGATATTATGTTAATGTTGCTATTTATAAAATAACCTTGTCTGAGGTATTGCCCGGCCATGTTTCATTTAAGAAGTTACAACGTGTTTAGAATTTATCGTGAATTTCGTTACAGATTATAATAGTATTTCTATAAATCATTATATATATATATATCAAGATAACTCCATGACTATCCCAAAAACAGTTACTATCACTTTCCCAGCCGAAAAAACAGTTTTTGCTTTTTTGGAGCCGGTTCCCCTTTGCAGTCTACTGCTTTGACTGTACTATTTTGTTTCGGGCAAATAATGGTGTATCCAAGTTTCATCTTCAGTAATTAATCGGCGCCAAAACTCGAATTTATTGCGCCTAAACTGCGCCAACAGAGCGTTGGAAATGTTTTATTTTGAACGCTTTTGAATGAATGGAAGCTGTGGCTGGGAGCACAGAGAATGAGTAGATATAAAAAGATTGGGAGCTAGTGGATTGATTTATTATTCTAAGAAGCGATATAGTGATAACTTGTCAAATGTTGTGCATGTGCTCGTGTTTTGGGGGCTGCTAGTCCGAGCTATTTAAAGTAAAAGCTTCCAGTTAAACTTTGAGATTGCCCTATTCATCAAGCCCCATCCCACATCACATTAGATTGCCTGATTGGGGTTATTTGGAGTAGTTGCCACGCTTAGCAAGCGGTTTGGCAACAGCAGTTTTTGCCGTTATGAGGAGAACTCTGGTGATTTGTTTCCCTCTATCGCCTTTTACGACACCCACGGCATGATATGGGGTAGTAGATATTCTCTTACCACAACTACCTACTCGGTACTACGGTATCCCACACATAGAGAATAAAAATATTTAATTAATTCAAAGAAGCAGTAATAGAGTTTCAGTTAATTCAACTGTCCTATGTGAAGATATAAATAAGAGGGTAACTGATTATCAGTCAAGACGGGAAGGCGCCTTAGTAGGGCGCAACTTGAATTACGTGAACGACAGAAGCCGTATCTTTAA